AGCCCATGCTAAGTGCAAAACAGAGTTCCTTATCGGTGGCATTCATCCTCCTGAAGCAAAGAATTCCATGTTTCCCTGAGAGGGTAAAGAGGAGAAGGGCAGTTAGACCGAGGTGACTCACCGCAATGCCCTCAGAGGCTCCTCTGAGTTCACCGGGAGACCCTCGCTGACATTCGTGGCTGTGAATTATGGTCATTCCTCAAAGGTAACAAGAGAGGGTCTGTCAGCTGTGCAATTCCTTTGCTTTGGCAGGACACTTTGGAGTCAAGAAAACATTGGCTGGAGTTCAAGGCCAAGATTTTGGACCAGCTGCCACCGTAATTTTTCAGAAATGTGATGACTATTCCTCAAGAAATAGTTTCCTAAGGAGGCTGCAGGAATGCCCCCCCGAACATGCCCGGCTGCAGGAATGCCCCCCAAACATGACTGGCTGCAGGAATGCCCCCCAACATGCCCAGCTGCAGGAATGCCCCCCGGATATGCTTGGCTGCAGGATTACCCCCCGAATGAACATGCCTGGCTGTGGGAATGCCCCCCAAACATGCCCGGCTGCAGGAATGTACCCCGAACATGACTGGCTGCAGGAATGCCCCACAGAACATGCCTAGCTGCAGGAATACCCCCTTCCAAAAATGCCCGGCTGCAGGAATGTCCCCCCCCCCGGATATGCTTGGCTGCAGAAACACCCCCTGAACATGCATGGTTGCGGGAATACTCCCCAAACACGCCCAGGCGCAGGAATGCCCTCCAAACATGCCCAAGGGGGACTTAAAGAATGAACCTCCAAGCTAAACGGGAGAGAGCTCCAGGTCATATGTGGAACCTGCCTCATCGAACAAAGTGATTGTTTCGAGACACAGGCATGTGCTCTTTATCTTCTAAAGGACGGACGAGCACAGCTGTGTAAAACCCTCCGTATGTTATCTGTATCGGCCTTCTCTTAAAGGCAAGCTCCGTACTAAGTGTAACAAGCTAAGCTTCCTATACTGTCCAGTAAGGTGTATATGTAAGGCTAGGAGAAGCGTGTGAACATGTGAATGGCAAGCCAAAGTGCCTGATGGTTAGTGAGATCCAGGGTGGAGTCTTCTCACTTTCTTAACTAATCCTGGACTTGCATGTGTGTACCGAAAAGCATTTTCATACTTTATAATTTGGGGAATCATTGAAATTTGAACGCCTAAGTCTATGGCTTGGCAAACAGCACAATCTCAGTCCTTTTTTAAATGCAGTGTAACACAGTATCTAGACAAACACCAAAGCCATGCCAAGGTTGTCGAAAGAAAGATTTACAGTGTGCCCGAGTTGCTCAAGCAGAGAAGATAGGGTTTGAGCGGTGAGAAGCTGGGTTTTAAATACAGTGTACTGAGTCAGAAATACCATCATGGAGGCATATATGCAGAACAGTATCTGTGATGAGTAGGGAGGATCAACCATCTACAGAAGGCAGTGGAGCATGTGTATGAAGAGAGACACGACAGCACTATTTTGCTCACTGAAAAGGTGTGGAAGGACCATTAGCCTACATCTCTTTAATAATACTAACAAAAATGCCAAGGTTTTGAGGACATTAGTTACACTACAAAATAATAACCTAAAAATATGAGGTAAATCATTAATTTGTTAACAATTATATTCATTTTACTAATCTAATAGAAATAAAAGTAAGTATCTTAAAATATTTCTGCTCTTTGAGAAAGGTTGATAGTGGCTGGTTAATTCACAAGTTTCCAGATGGAAGCTAATGCTGAAGTGTTTTGTTTTAAAGAAATCATTACCCTTAATTTCAGGGAAGCCTGTAAAAAGAAGTCTCTGCTCAACAATGCACTTATATTCATGATATATTATAAACATAATATTTAAAATATCCAACAGTAATGCTCAAGTGGTAAGGACTAAGGCTTTACTTGGAAGGCCTACTATGCTTCAATCATTCTGAATCTTTATTTTCCTATATTTTTATCACATTTACAACCATACTTTATATGTGGGGTGTTGGCTATCAGATGGGAATCATTAGATTGAGGAAGAGGTAGGAGATCTAAATGATTCCACAGTGGCATTCCAATTGTCATTTTCCAGGTAAGCTCGGGTTACTCTCCTTCTTATCCAACAAGGGCTTCTGCCAAGACAAAAGTTTGGGACTCTTAACTGAGGCCATAAAAGCATTTGGGTGTTTAAAGATATCTGTTTAGAGAATCAAAATTTCGGATGTCTTGGCAAAGCCCTATAACAAAACTCCCTTTAGAGCGATTGCAGAACGAGGACATTCCTTCTGACTTTGAAGATTCTTTTCCGAGTTGGAAGAACCTCTCATTCCTCAGCTCACTGAGCAGAAGACGGACTTTGAAGCTCTGTGGCGGAGACCTGATTTACTGCTTCCCAGATGAAAGCCTATGAACAAATCACTCAACATCAAAGTCCACAGCTTTCCTCGTCTCTGAAAGATGGATGTCATTGGCATGCAGAGTCAAGCTGGTAACAGGAGGAGGAGGATGGACGGAAGTAATGCTAATCCCCCCATGATCAGGTGTGAAGGGAATGCCATGATTTTCAATGCGGATTCCTGTGGTATAAATAGTGATATGATGGCCATTTTAGAGATAACAAGGTGATACTGCTGGCATGGAGTTGGGAGGAGATGTACTGTCATTTAGTATTCCTACCGTAGATATTGGTAGATGGGACTCTTTCATACAGCAAATGTAATAGAAAAATGGAAATTAGAAGGCAATGTGTTTTGAATTTTTATTACCTTAGTTTTTCACAAAACTTATTTAATTATAGGTATTATTTCAATACTAACCAGCTCACAAAATTCCTAAGATTATAATCATTTGTACTCATAAGGCAGTATGATCCAAACCAACAAATTCTCAAAGAAATTCTGAAAAAATAACTTGGAAACACAACTTTCTTGGATGTGAGAAGGTTGGATGGGTAGAAATGAGGAGAAAACGCAAAAAGCATCCACTCCGATATGCAGGGAATTAGAATCAGGGACTTTCTTTTTGACTCTTAAGCCAAGGAGCCAAGTTTAGAAATGTGTCCATCTGTTCTGTGGTTTGAAAAAACCTGCAAAGTAGAGATGGCTGATGTATCTTACTTAGTGCTATCATTCAAATGAGCTCATTCATGATCAGTTCTGTTACAGAATCTGCTTAGAAGTTCTGGCTAAAATGTCAGTGTTTGGGCTGGTGAGATGGTTCAGTTAATGAGGAGCTGCTTTGAAAGCACAGGGACCTAAGTTCGGATCCCTAGAACACACAAAAAGCCAAGCATGGTGGCATATATAATCCTAGCCCAGGGACAACAGAGACAGAAGGATTCCCCGGGGCTCACTGGTCAACTGTTCTCGCCAAGTCGGTAAGCTCTGGGTTCAATAAGAGACTCTGCCTCAGAAAAGAAGGAGGTGGGGAGAGGCTGGTGAGATGACGCGTTCAACATTGGCTCTTTCACGCTGATGGGAGAACCCATGTTTGGATGAAAGCGTTCTATCCCTCTCAAAGTGTCTCGTTATCACAGTCTCCCCTTTCAGTTCTTTCCCATGCCTCCTTCAGAGGTTCATCGCATCCATCAAGACCCAGAGGCCACTTGTCACCAAACCAGACTGAAAAGAAGGGAAACTGACGGTGACTTTTACCAGAAAGGACCCTCCTGGCCTTGAAAGCCTTCCAGATTACTGCTGCTTCACCTAATGTCATGGAAACAGACAGATATAATAATTTTGCTGAATGTCTTACAGGATGCCAGGCAGGTGTCTTAGTCCAAAGTCACCTACCTGGTGTCAGCATTGTTCTCATTTTTCCCACAAGATCACACAGCTCAGAGATCTGAGCCAGGCTGTGAAGCAGGAAGGACATGAGTGACCCAGAAGCCAACAACAGCTCTAGCACAGAGCGCGTTGTACACAGGTCTTTGCTCACACCCACTTCTGGTCTTCCTCTTCTCTGATGCTTAGGAGTTTCCACCTCTGGTGACTGGGAGAGTTACAGTAGGCCTGAAAAGGCGATTCTTTTCCTTGGCTCTATTCTGATGCTAAGAGATGATTCGGAAAGACGCTCCTTCTTAAAGGTGTGCCACCCTTGGTACTTGTCACATTAATAGTTGCTACTTAAGTCAACACTAGATGCTCGTGGTTTAGGGTTGGGTCACAGTCCTAAAACAGTGGTGTTTAGCTCCCCTTGGGGCTCCTTAATAAGACATAACTCCATGGTCCCAAGAAGGCATGCTTGGTCTATCTAGAGTTGCTGTCTGCGTATGATGTTTAGAGAGGAGTGAGTGGTAGGAATACAGGGAAAGAGTCCAAGAATCCAGGGCCCCAAAGTAACAGGAATAATCCCTGCTTCCTAGAGAACTTCTCCAGGCTTGCACTTCACTCCTACCACGTCTTTCCACACTACCTCACTCCAACCAACATCCTGCTACAGCATTACCTCAAATGCACTGCCAGTGTGAGTAGCGTCTGTGGTACCATTCGGGGACCTCACTGGCCATGGTATCAGAACCAAAGAGACACTGTTCCAGTCATGCCAATCACTATGGTGACTTCCCAGAGGCTGAGATAGCCCTTTTTCAGCCCAGATGAAGCTAGAGACACCAAAGGGTGGTCACTCTGCCTGGTACACTGGACCTAAGAGCCCTTTGGACAACAGAATTGAAGGTCTCTGTGGGTGATGGGCATATAACATGAACCCGTGACATCAGTTGGAACACATGATGTCTCACGATGAGCATGGTTATTCTCCATGCCACCTTCTTCCTGTACCTACGGAGTCTATGTATTCAGGGTTTGGCACTCTGATGCCATGCTATCTCTGTGAGTTTCCTTTTGTGGGGCAGAAATTCTTGAGCCCTTTCATGAATGTCATTCAAACATTATAATCCATCATAGCCATTAGTTGGTCTTTTACTTCAGCTCATTCAAGAAAACAGGAAATTCTCAGAAAACTTGTATATATGCAATATATGTTAGTCAAATTATAGACAGGCAACTGTTTCTGTAGAGTATATTTTTAATGAGAACATATTATTATATTTGGAATATGTGGTATTCTTGCTCAGTAGAAACATTTACAAGAACACATACACATTTATATCCAAACCCCAAATGAAGTAGATTGTTTAAATGACCAGTTCTGCACCAGAAATAAAATATATTATACAAAACAGGGCTATGTCCACAGTCATTAATTCTCATTTTCTACACAAAACAACAATAAATTAAATCACATTATATGCAGATAGTCCTACTTACATTAGATAGTAAGCTGTATGTGACTAGTGCAGCTATCTACCAGACTCATGGTAGGTTTGTATTGTTTGGTGGTCCTGTATTTAAATTAGCCATGACTGACATGGCATAAAAGACACGGGCTCCGGGATTAACCTTCTGCAATGCCTGGCTCGTGACCCCCTGGTTTCAACTATGCACAGGGCCCAAAGCTCTTATTCTCAGAAACACAGCACCTCCGGCCTGTTGCGGGCACTTCATTGCTAACTTATGCACACCACACTGAACATTTTCAGACACAAGCACCAAATCCTGAATAAGATACTTCATGTCAAAATCCACATTTGCTTGTTTCTTTGCAGAAATAACTTTCTCTACCTGATATTTGCTGTATACTATGACAGCTTTGTTCTAGAAAATAAAGAAATGAATTTGGTAGGCTGTTATGATTCATGCTTGGTAAATAGACCTCTTTGTTCCTGTGCATATAAATTTATGTCTTTAACTATGAATAAATGTAACATGTTTTTATTAACTCTGAAGTCTACGTGTTCAAATCTCTCCACTAAGAGCCATCTCACACCTGATACACCAAGAATTTTTATAACATATGGATTTTTAACCTCTGAGATACAGCTCTCAGTGAAATCCTTTTCATTGTGTTTAAAGTGGTTTAAAACATAAACACCAACATCAGCTGGTTCTGAATGCTCTAGGTTTCACATGAATTAACATTCGTGGTTAATGAGAGATTTGAACAACCTCCAACCCAGCACCTTTTGAATGACTTTCATCCCACAGGCCTGCAGGATGCATCTGAAAAATCTGTATGCTGAGAACCAAAGCCAGGCTTGTTAGTGTGCAAGGCTTGAACTGTCCAAGGGCACCATGGCCAAGTTACTGTAAGACTTTCTGATTAGAAGCCAGCTACCTCCTTACAGCCAGGGCTATTTTGTCTCTTTCTCTGAGTAGGTGTGGAGGCTCCCTCACCAATTCCAACCTGCAGGGGAAAGATGCCCACACACCTGTGGAGCCATGACTGACAGTAGGTGGGGCTCAGGGAAGAAAGGTAGTAGAGACAGCAGGGAAGTTCTTCCCATAGTCGCCTTGGGAGAAATAAGCTCCTGGTTCTTTTCACTGGGCATGCCCATCATTTCTTGTTGAGACTGGCTACTGCAGAAGGTCTAAACTGTTCATTATTCTTCAGTTCTAAAGACCAACTGGATGAGAGACAGGTCCCTCTGGTGCCACCAACTCATTCTCCCTATTTCTATGCTGCCCCTAAGTATCCTGGGTTTCTAGACCATTTTTTTTATTCCACTGAATGAGAAACTCAGCTCATTACCAGCTTCCTTCTGAAGTCCTGAACCACAGGGTGTAACTAAACAAAACCTGTGACATGTAGGTAGAGGGGCCAAATTTCTATCGCCATTTGCCTTCCTAGCTGCATCCAGTAGGGATCTGAGTCCTTTGTGTCTCAAAGAAACATAGGCACTAGTATATTCCAATTTATAAACACTATTCTTTCTCTTTGTGTGTGTGTGTGTGTGTGTGTGTGTGTGTGTGTGTGTGTAAGAACTGCACAAGTCACTCAGCTTCAAGAAAGCAATGGTGTCACTAGAATTGGCTTCTGAGCCCACTCACTGTCTGTCTCAGGTATACAAGGCCTCCCCTTTTACACCCACCGCCTGCCTTCCATCCCTACACCCAGCCAGTCCCAATCAGAAGAAAAGAGGTAAGCTAGGGACAGAAAGGGTGCATGTGCCTTCGGGCACAGCACAGGAAGCTGGTAAGCAGAGCAGGAAGTTACTTGGCATTCCAGAGCTTTTCTCTCAAGGGAGAGAGGAAACAAGGCCACCTGCTCTCCTTCCTTAGGATTCTCCCTTTCCTCCACGAGTTAGTTCTGAGGGGTAAAGAACTATTTTAAGGTCTGTGGAACTAACTATATCTGTGGTTCAGGAAAAGCCGTGCTGGTGGCTCATAAAAACAATATAACATTGAAGGGATTCCCTGTGAAACCTCTGTTTGCGAGGAAGGGGCATGACTCCACACAGAATGGACTCCGTCTTCTCTCCCAACTCTAAGACAATAATATCGACTAAAAAAAAATTGTGTTTATTTCCAATAACATAACTATATGCTTATTTTAGCTTGTTATGAACTCACATTTTGACTAGATGAGAAAAATACTAATAAGATATCCTCTTTGAAATCTTAATCATTAGATTTAGGAGTAAAAATGTATAGAATGGCTTAAGAACTAAAGTCCCATTGAACTTATTATGTAATAGTTGGCTCCTGGCAGATTAAAAATGACCAAATGTCAAAGCTGTGGCTTAGTAGTTAGGAATTTAAGTCCCACAATACAATACGGAGAGTGCTTACCCCAGGGCCACCACAGAACTAACATCTATACATTCAGCAGAGGTTTACCAGCTCAGTGGTATTTTCAAAACTTAATGTCATTTGGGCAACTCATATGAAGATTTTTTTTTTCTGGCACAGGGTCTCACTGTGTAAACACAGCTGATCTAAAACTCACTATATAGACCATGCTGGCCCGAAACCACAAACATCTACCTACCCTGCCTCCCAAGTGCTGGGATTGAGAACACCTTGCCTAGCCATGTGAAGATGTTTAAGGAAGGAAAACTACATAGCAGACATGTAAATGACCTTAATCATACTAGAATTGCTTTATCATGATAAGAAATGACACCATCTTCTGGAGAAGACAAAAGTCACCCATTTTTCAAAGGCTAACTCCCTCCTCATCTTTAACATCCTACCTGGGGAAACGCTATTAAACTTGGAACAATTCCTCCAGCTGAAGTAGAAAGAAAAGGTATTTTCTGTAACAACACTGCCATTAATGCACCACTATATAAATGTCAAGAACGGTCAGAAATATTTACACCAAATAGAATATAGCCATGTAGAGGACTTTCCCCAACACCCCCTCTCCTGTAACTAACACGCAGGTTCAAAAAATAAACCTTAGAAAATGAATATCTCTGAAATATATGGAAAAGATTATTGAGAAAGTAAGAGAGGGAATCGAGCTCTCAGGTTCAGATAACTGAAGCAGTTGTAGTCTGTGCACTCAGTTTCCGTCATGTGAGTTCCCAACCATCGGCCACCGCTTTCCTGCGTTCTACCTCACAAACTCTAGTCCTGCATTAGAATTTTGAGATCTACCTTTCTTGCCTACTATTTCCACTCTTTTTGAAGTCGGCAATTTTCCTTTAGCCGCCTAAATGCAGAACCACAACGGAGCTGCTCCTGTTGTTCACAGCTGATTCTTTTCGTCACGTGGTTTGTATCCCGTTTCCTGAGCCATAAGAAAGAAGTGAGCCTCACACAGAAAAAGCCGGTTCACTTTGACGTGGAATGCAACCAGCTATGACACCGTCCTTCCCGGGGAAGCAAGCAGGAGCAGCTTCCAGAACTTTGCCCCCACTCAGCTTTCCTCTTCAGCAGACCTGAGCGAATGTGGCCTCCAAGGAATTATGCTATTTCTCCCCTCTAAACGGTGTTTGAGGAACTCAAAATGTTACCAAGAGAGGCATGATTACCAGATGGTACCCTTGCTCTCTCCTCAAACGGTAAAGTGGGAACCCACATTTAATCCTCAGCAGACAGGACTGAGTGCGAATCGGATACCCAGCAAAAGCTGGCTCGCTCGGTCGTTCCCAGAATGCACTTGTCTGTCCTACCGCGCTGTGGGTAATTTGTGGTGGCTGCAAAACTCTCTGGGTTCAGGGAACAGAGCGGATATCAACACTCCCTCTTCCAACCACGTTTCGATAAACTGCACTCCTTTTAATTTATCATTTCTGTGTTTCGCTGTCAAATTCTCGCCCTCGGTTTCTTCTGGAGGGAAAGATTGGCATGTCTGGGTATCCTCCGCTATACTCCACTGCCTTCCCTCCCTGGATTTTGAAGGGCAATCAGTTGGCCACAATTTAGAAGGGGTGCAGCCCTCCAGAATTTAAAACCATTCACAATGAAAAACGGCTTAAAAATCAATGTGTCCCTTTAGAGTTTGCAAGCTGAACGTATTCCTAGACGTCTGCAGTCAAAGCGGCCATTAGCAGTTAGTGTTTGACCACAGCCGTGGGAAAGAGGACAGCAGAGAAAGAGGCCATCCCTTTGCCACCATGGGTTTGTCACACACTTTCTCCGTGCTTTTAGAGTACAAGTGAAATTTAATCTTCAAAATGAAAAAATAGACACATTTCTAATACCAAAATATAAGATTAAAATACTTAAAAATAAAATGTTAGCAGGAAGTAGGGCTTTTTTTTACATCATAAAAGAAACATTTAGACTCGCTTTTCTTATATAAATCCTCCTAACTCACTAATATTTACAATTTCCAGAGTAGTTTTTCTGAGACACTGAAAGGGACAGGGAGGATCATTCTGGAGACACAAGGTCAGACCTGACCGTGGACACCGATCGCAGCCCTTGTCTACCACAAACCTGTCCACTGGCTCCAGAGAGCAGCCCTGCATTCCGAGGCTTGAGATTTTTTTCATTCTATTGTCCTCTTATTGGGTGTTAAATTCTTTCCAGGAATATTCTACTTGTAAAAAGTGTTTTATTCTAGCTACAAAACATTTAATTTCAGAAAAACCACATCTTTCCTTGTGTGAAAGGCTCCCAAAGCCATCAAGATACGGAAACGCTGGATTTTTCGAAACATAAATTTAATCCTATGCCCTTCCAGCGGTCAGAACACCTAATAGAATGGCGTTATATCCTCAGATTTGTTTGCCATGAGATGAAAGGCCGGGAGGCAGATAGTGATTAATAATCATTCCTGAGCTTCTAAAGGAAATGGAGAGTGAATGACTACGGCCTAAAACAAAGACTTCTCCACGAGCGTCCTTTCTGCTCCCCTGATGTCTTTCCTTCCATCTATCTCTCAAGCAGACGAAAGTGGGGGATCTTCTAAGCCACCGAAAAGTGAGATCTGATGGAGTCTTCGCGTAACTCTCGATGTTTCCCAATGTTCCTCTCTTCTTGCTGATTTCGCCTCTCAATGGTTATTCTGTATTTCTTCCTATGTAAAAGCAGAATAAATGCAACAATAAAACCTCACTTGATGGCAAAATACTACAGTTCCTCTTACAAAAAATGCCTTCCAGGGACATCTGGGTTAGGTCTGATAAATTAGAAGTGACACAATATGAAACCGTGGTCAGAGATTAAAGTAGTGTGCCCCGAGGCATCGTGTCCTTATTCAAGGAGGAAAATTGGCAAGCTTTCCGATGTACTGTAGAACAAGCCTTCCCCTTCTTCCCTGGAACCGTGTGGGTTCAGTCTTATCTCTTCTGCCCCAGAAGCTCTGCTTGACTCCCAGGATATGCCCCCAGATAAAGATCAGATTAAGTGTACTGTGACCAAAGGGACAGGGACACAATTGTTCCCACAGAGAGCTACACACACCCAGACTTACATCTCCATGTGAAAATGAAGAAACCTTAGAAATAAGCCCTGAATTCAGCCTTTGAAGATTACTAAAGAATGGACCACCACTGCAACAAACGACCAAAACCTTGAGCACATGTACATAGCACCAGCTTATGAGCCTGGAGGTTGAGCCATAGCAACAGCTAAGCAAGCACGTGACTTCTTCAAATACAGAACACATTCAGCAGCCTGAATGGGAGGTCACTGGGCGCTCCCTCCAGCCCTTCAAGGTGAACATGGCCACTTATTTCTGAATTGAAGGAAGTTTGAGAATAGGTTCATTCTTTGTCCAGATTTCCTCTTCGTGTTTACATTTGGTAGGTAGAAGGGATTCTCATGAATGGATCTGTGGTCCAGAGATCCCAGCAACTCTCTGGCCCATGGTGGCCAGAGTACAGTAGAAATCCATAACCCAAGATGACCACCAGACCCAAGATCGCACCAAAGAATGGCTTTGATATTTTAACCACCATCCTTCTCTCAGAGAAGGGTGTGGGCAAATCACAGGGAGTATTATGCAAAGACAGGAGACAAAAGCCAAAAATGCAGAGTGAATTTTAGCATCTTGAATGGTCCCTACCTGAAGAAGTAGAAGGCCATTAGCAAACCAGCACCAAGTAGGGCCCCCACCACAATTCCTGTCACTGCTGATTCTTCTAGGCCACCTGCTTGAAAAAGAGACATCACTGGTCAGAGCTCATTTGGGAAAATAAGTAGAAATACTTTGATTTGTGTTCATCTCCCAGTTGAAACATTTTTTTTCCTCTGTGAAATACATACATATATATATGCATGCTTTTCAGAAAGCACTAGACAAATGCATTGTCACGTGACAGTGAAGAGAACAGCAGCAAAACAAGTTTTAATTTGAGACTGGGACAAATGGCGTCATCCTGGCATTTGGGAAGATGAGCAGGAGGATCACAAGTTTGAGGCAGCCTGAACTACACAGCAAGATCTATAACAGGAAAGGAAGAGGAAGAAGAAGAGGGAGGAAAGGAAGGTTAGAAAGAATCACAGACAAAGAAAGAAGCACAGATTCGAGCAGGATTTGATGAGGCTGGAAGCTGGAGATTTCAAACACATCCACACTCTGCTTGAGCTGAAAGTCAAGGAAAGCAGCGTGGATGGACAAAGGCTTCTGTTTCAGCTCTTCTGTTTCTCACGGGGGATGGTGACACTCCTAAGTGCTAGAAGGTCTGGGGAATTGTACTGGGTCAGTATTCTGTTTTTAGATGTTCTCTCACCAAAGCCAGAGTCCCTTCTCCAAATGGCCTACATAGCTTTGTGAAAAAGCAAACCGTTTGGATCACTCCATTAAGGACTCAGTTCTAGAAAAATCAGCCTCTCCTGTCCTTGCAGAGTTTATAGTAAGCCTGCAGGTCACGGCCTCATGGGCTCCTCAGACCAAAGCTGGGTATATTTTACTTTACATGTGGGGAAAGGGAGGCTTGGTGAGTTGAAGGAACTCTCCTAGCCCAAAAAAGCAAGAAGCAAAGTAAGACTTTGGATCCATGCCCAGAGGCTATGTGGTCAATACACTTCTCCATTAATTCTTTCTCATAACTAGTGTATAGTATAAATTCCTCAACATTAAAAGATGGTCCTGAGACACAATGACCATATATAGTCACCTAGAATCACCAACTGGCCTGCAAGATTGATACCACTTGTTCTTCCTCTTCAGAAGCCCCTCAGAGACAATCACTTAAAAAAAATGTTCCTGTCTCTGAGGAAGATACACCTGCTTCTCTTTCTCCATCCAGAAATGGGCTATAAATAATATGTTCAATGCTTATTTGCCTCTTTGTAAGTTGCCAGGTATTTAAGAACATTATCTGTCCCATCTTGAAGATCTGGAGGTCAACTGTAAACTTTAAAATCAATAATGAGATTTGTTACAGTAGATGAATAAGAGACAGTTAATAATATTATTTTTCCTCAAAGTAGAAACCTCTAATAACTAAGAGATTGTAGAAAGAGATATAAATCCAGATAGAATATACTATCATCTGGAAGAAAAGAATAAAGGGAAGAAAGATGGACACTTCTGGTAAGGGAAGAGGGATGGCTATTTTTGAGTTGTTCCCATGGGTTTGAAGACATCAGAAAAAGACATGGGAGCTTTCTGAACACGAGTCCTTGAGAGCAACATGTGCTGGCCCCATGTGACTGGAGAAGAGGAGGAAAAGTGAATTAAGTCTCTGAACTTACATGATTTGCAAGGCGAGCTATTGGTATGCTCCACAATTCTGGTTTCATCTATTCTCAGTTTCAAAGGGCCCCAGGGGTACTTGACATTGGATCGCATTTTGAACCGGCCTTCTTTTCCAAAGTAATCACCAATAACCTACAGAGAGGCAAAAGTCAGACATAAAAAGGGAAAAGCCAAAGTTACCTGTTCCCTGTAAGCAGAGGCTGCTCGTTTGTTTTCTGGCTGCTCAGACCTGGAAAATTATATCAATTACAGCACTCTGGCCAATGGCTCAAGCATATTTCTAGCTAGCTCCATTGTGTATGGCCACAGTGCTGAGGCTTACCAGGTAGAGTTCCAGGTGTCTGTCTCCTTTGGCAGCTACATGGCATCTCTCTGACTCCACCTACTCCATATATATATATATCCCTTCCAGCCTGGCTATATTCTTCCCTGCCATAGGCCAAAGCAGCTTTATTCATTCCACATCAGTTCCCAAAGGAGGCACAAAGCTCGTAGTCTTGCATGAGCTCCCCAAAACACAGCCTGATCTACACAGGCTACCTCTACACATCATCACCAGCAGGAAGTGACAGCAAGAGCTTCAGAAAAGCATGAGAAACGGGAGGGGTCAGGGGCTCTCCTGTTGTGCACGCGGACTATCACAGTGGCTCCTCAAGGCAGCAAAGGAATCAGGGTCACGTAGACTTGAAAAGGTATGGACACGACAGAGACAGTGCCTGGTGAGGCCTGTCTACACTGGAGGCTGCACCCTACCAATGCTGTCCCTGCAGGTATCCAGCAGCTGCTACTGCATAGTGGGAAGGGTGGATTCTTTTCACTTCCCTATGAAACAATAGTCTACAGATTCACACCTTTTCCCTGGCTCATTCCACAGGGCCCCTATCTGGGCTTCAGCCACTAAGGAGTCCACACTGTCAGTCATGTGTGAGGCCTTTTCCCTTGGGGATGTGCGACAGAAACCAATGTCACTGCATACCTGCTCAGGTTAAGCATGTGACAGATACACAGTCCCCCTCACCCTCCAGTCAGATCGACATACAATTATAATACTAAAGAATATAATTTAGAGTGATAGAAAGATGGCTTCAGAGGTAAAGGCCCTTGCCAACAAGCCTTAAGACCTAAATTGGATACCCAGGACCCACATGTTGGAATGAAATAACCAATACCCATTGTCCTCTGACCTACACATACACAATAGATAGATGATAGATAGATAGATAGATAGATAGATAGATAGATAGATAGATAGATATAGATTGATAGTGACAGACAGACAGATAGATGTAATTTAAAAAATTGTATCTTTGAAGAACTTTTTGGTTGACCTTTTGGCCAGTGCTATGTCCTTAGGGGTCACATTCATCTCTGATGAACTCACTTCTTGTGCTCTCCCATTATCAGACTGAACTCTGTTTCAGCTGTCACCTTAGACCACTGGATGATATAATTGCAGGGTCACACTCCAGTTAAATGACTTATATCAGTCACATGAGCCAATCTGGCAGTGCCTCCTCACACAGCTCCTAGGGGTTCTCCACTTTTGCCTGGGCACAGACTTGTGCCTCCTGGGTGGCCTGTGATATTTCTCATCCCTCCTCACTGAGGGACAGCAGCCTCTCCCAGGCTATATCAGCTCAGGGTCAAAACCAGTTCTAGGTCCTCATGAAATATGACAGTGGCTGCTGTGTCGAGTCTATCCCAAGTGCTTTGCATGTGCAGCCTCACAAAGAGATGGGATGAACCATCACTCCCCAACTCTCCAGAGGAGGAAGTCAGACTGCAGACAAGCTCTAGGTCTGGGGCGATATGAAAATCATTTGGTGAACACAGCCAGAGGGCTCCTGCTCCCTCACGTCCCATACAAAGACTAGGTGTACCCCACAGAGAGGAGAGGTATCGTATGCCAGCGCCCACGAAAGCAACAGGAGTGATGCTGATCTTCAGAGTGGGAGAGCTGTGTCTGCTACTCAGCAGCTGCAGCACTCAGGGGAGTGGCCCATGCATCTTGCCTGGGCAGCACAGTAGAGCACTGTGGTGTAGGTGTGGGTAAGCCTACTGGTCTACCCTGAGAGCATGAAAGCAGGAGAACCGGCTCCACCCCTTGTTCATTGCCGCATAGGGTGAACTAGATAGAGCAAGTCTGAGAGCTAACCCTGGTGATGAAATGGGAGGGGGAGTTGGCGGGCTGAACAAACCTGCAAGCATCCAAACCCAGAACCAGAGCTATGAGTTGACCAACCCCAACAACCACCCCATCTATGATCTGCTGGAGCACATGAAGGGCCACATCCTGCAGATTCAAAGCCGCAGGACCTCCGTGACACAGGGCAGCAACAGGATAGCCAAGAGGAGCCCCAGTGAGGTCCCAGCAATGACCAGAGACCTCAAACCAGACCAATGACTCTTTTCAATGAACACTTGCAAGTAAAGATATATGGACAAAGGATTTACTGTGTGACTCACTGTGCCACACTGCAGCTCCCATGACAAGATTGTTCTCTCTCTCTCTCTCTCTCTCTCTCTCTCTCTCTCTCTCTCAAACTTTATTACGTTTCATTTTATTTTACTGGGGGGAGTAAAAGGGCAGAGGGTAGATAGAAAGGGAAAAGGAGATGAATGAAATTGAGATGCATGATGTGAAAAACACAAAGGATAAATAAAAAGGTTTTTTTTAAAAAAAAAAAAAAGAGTGATGGCCTTGACCTTGCAAGGAAAAAGGGCAATCATCATCTGTTGAAAAACTATTTTTCAGTAGAACATGTGTTATTTTTCTAGGTTTCACCTCATATGGTTCTAATGATGTCATGAGGCCAGCAAGAAAAATATTAGAATTCACACGGTGGTGTGTTCTGCCTTCCACCTCAGTGAATAGTGAGCTTTGCCTACCCAGAAGGCTCATTTGTGTTTGAAGGGTGCATTGGACACCAGGACAAATACACCCTCAGAGTCCCCACTTGCCAGAGTGACCAATGTAGAAGTGTCCTTTCCTCACCTCTTGGGTGCCGGCTTCAATGTCTGTCATGGCAACCACGGAGAAGTCCCCATACCGGTCCCCGTTGGCATCTATGGACACCTGCCCAGCGATACCTGCAGGAGAGGCAAAGAACTCTACATTAGTAACTTACGGTACCTCTGCCTGCCAAGAAAATGAATTGATGGGATTTTTTAAAACAAATTCATGCCACAGGGAATCACATCAGACTGGAAGCATTTTTGTTGGCATTTGGAAAGACATTGTAATTTCATCTGTGTCTGCATTCCTAAATTCTTAACATTTCTCCATTTAAAAAAGAAAAAGAAATGATCTTTGGAGAATACTTCTGGAAAAAAAAAGAACAGAAGAAGGTTAATGCTGAAGGCCATGTGCTTACTCTAGAGTTTTGATTTTTTATTTTCTAAAAAGTAGCAAAAAGGTAAAGATGTCTTATCACACATAGGTCTGGGTCCTCATTGGACAATTCTCATAAGGAAAATCACTCCGACCCAGGATTCAGTAGTATGCTCCATACAGGCTGCAAGAGCGCTGGGGGTCTGATTGCTGGGTCCCTGGGGCCAGTGTCTAAAGAGCAAGTCTTCATTGCCCAATGATGTGTCTTCATTCATTGCTTATGCAAACACTATCCGGAAGATTCCTGGGTGCTGAGTTAGCACTGCAGGGAAGGCTGAGTTAGAGTAGCTCAGGAGGGGCCTGGACTCAAGGAGGGGCCTGCACTGTGGAGTCAGCTTTTCCTAGTAGAATCAGACAAACAGGTTGGGGCCAGAGAAGTAGGTGAGTGTGCTTGACACCAAGCTGAACATAGGTCATGTAGGTTTGAACTCTGGGACCCACACAGTAGAAGGAGCAAACTGATTCCCAGAAGTTATCCTCCGACTAACACACACACACACACACATGCACGCAAGCACACATGCACTAAATAAATAAATAAATGGAATTTTAAAGTGCGATTTTGTGTTGTTTTTCTTTTCTTTTTTTATTGAAGAATACTGAATTGCCATTTTGTCTTTTCCCACCTCTGCCACCGTGGCCAAAGCATTGGTCCCCTGAATCTCAGCCTCTACAACCAGCGTAAACAAGCATAAGATCATATTCCTACCAAGAAGCAGCAGAGCTGAGATAAAACACGTGGGGCATCACCAACAGATGTTTAAGCAACGCCAGCTGTTTTCCTCTATCTGTCGCTACTGCTGTTATTATTCCTACAGGTTGAGTAGCCCTTAGCCAAAGGATGTAGGGCCAGATGTGTTTCAGATTTCAGGTGTTTTCATCTATGGTGTCATTTTGACATGTAAAATGTTCCAATGTGGGAGCATTTTGAGCTTGAGATCTGGGGCTGGAGGATGCTATTATAAAGTTCTCCTTATCATTACTGTGCCTGTAGTATCACAGAGCGTACTTGACCACGATCTACCATTCAAAGCACGACTCAGCACAAGTTAAAATGCAGCCAAAAAGAAAGAAAAAGCAGGGATTATGGGATTATAAAATCCCATACACAGGAGGAAATCTGTGATTCAAAACACAATCAAGAGTGTAAGTTACTGACCTGGTTTAATTTACAAAGACCCTAAGGCCAGAAAGAACCAGAGAACCGTGAAGTTTCCGATGAAGTGTTTATGAACAGAGCCAGTGAGATGGGAGGCTGGAACAGAGCAGCCAAGGCACAGAGGACCCAGCCACTTTGACAAGCAGTGATGGGTGCTCCCTGCAGCTAATCCCCAAAGGCCACCAGAGAACAGAGGCTGGTGCTGAACAGCCTGTATTTGCATCTTGGTTCACTAAGTAGCAGGATGTGTGCACCAGCCCTGTTCTAATCAGCACAAGCCATTCGTTTCCTTCACGGGAGAATTCTGTGCTGTTCTTCCTTGGTGTTGCTATCCATTTGCCTCTCCGCAGACAGAGTGACCGCCTCAGGGAAATGTCCCCTGAGGAGCATCCCAAGGGAAAGTTCCATCCTCTCGTGTGGTTTGGAGAGGGCAGGCATTTGGGTTTACTGTCCTTTGGGCTGTGGTTTGAAGGCCCACTGATTTTTCCAGACTTTGGGTTACTTTGCTGGAAACAGAATGGAGTTACCATTCATCTTGGGGTTTGTTTGTTTTTTTTTTTTTTTTTGTCTTCTTAATACAGGCAGGTTACAAAGGATGCGCCTATCATGAACTTGTGCATCCTTGAGAGGCTATAAAACTTTAAATTATATACATATAGTGTGTATATATGTGTAAATGTGCATATGCATATATGTGTATATATACATATACATGTGTGTGTACATATACATATTCACTCTCCAAACACTGTGGCTATCTGAGGTCACTTGTCAATCTGTCCAGCGGCGTTAGGGAAGTGTGCCCTGAGTGATTTACACTGTATTTTATCTGATGCAGTGGTCCTGGGAATCCTGCACCTCATTACACCTTTAAGCGATTGCAATTCTGCCAAGAAGTGGGGTGAGAACTCTCAGGGTGGCTGCTTTGCAAAGTGAGACTTCACCTGAGAGTATCGAGCAGAAGGTGAACTTGTTAGGGTGACAGCAGAATTTTCCTGTGTATCAGCAATGAGTCCTTCTAACCCCGTTTCTATTTGCCCAGGCCTGAGCCACACACAGTCCTGTTTACCTTGCCCCTCTAACCTCTCACACAGAGGAAACACGGCCTCTCCTTGGACCGTTTATTGGAAGTCTTGAGAGTTGATCATAGGTTTCACGGCAGTAAAATCCAATTTTGTCAAATAACATCCAGGGTATTTTTTTCTCCTGACAACTTAATGGTCACTTACAGCAACCACTAAAATTAAAATTGTTTTTAATGTGAGGGAGATTTGAGTTTTTCTTCAGCTCTTTGAGGGGCTGCCTTCAAATGGACTGCTGCTTAGGAAATAACATGGGCTCTCTGAACCATTCAAACTCACCTGGGCATCGGTCTTTACATTTCAGACACATAAGATCCTAATTTTAGACTCAACTATACTATTCTTTATACTCTTGGTACATACTGACCGCGTAGACCTGACCCTAAAATGGAACCATGAAAATGGCGTCTGAGAATAGTTAGTGCCTGTCTCAGCTCTAAATCAAGCTGTGTCCCAGCCATTGTGGACACCTGCCCTTCGCTCGCCAACCTCTCTCAGAGCTGCCTTTGAGCATCCCCAACTCTGGCTCCTGTCCCGCTGTCAGAAGACCAAGAACAAATGACCACACCGTGCGGTGAGTAATAGCTAAGAAAGGGATGTGCCTGACCAAGGTTGTGTCCCCACACACCAGTTTCTCGGTGCATTGTGCACAGATTCTGGGAAATTTGACTTTGTCCTAATATGCCCCCTGAATTACCCTATTTGATTCCTGCCCCTTAGCTGAAGCAGGAAGAGCCAAAACAAGTTCATCCAGGGAGCTTGTTTACCCCCAAACAACTACTTGTCTAAAATGGAAGCTGTCACTTTTGTCTAAGGTAAAACATGGTGTTCACTGAAACCACTGTAGAGAAAAGAAACTGACCTGGGCTGCCATATCTGCTACCCAGACAACCCTAGCTGGAGCACCACTCCTCCCTTCTGTCCTTCCCTTTTAATATCTGAGGACAAGCTGAGGCCATGAAACGTAGAGGGAACCATCCCATACTCCTCTCTCAAAGCTTGACTCGGCTTTGCTCTTGGCATTAAGAAGTCTCACTCATGTAAACACAAGTACAGGCATACTCCAATCCGCAGAAGAGCTCACAGGACAAGTTGGCACAATGAAGAACTGGAAAGGCCCTTTTCAGTTAGCTTACCCAGTCTCCTTACACAGCAAATTGGGTACTAAAGGTTGCGGGCTCCTGCTTCCCACATCCCCAGTCTGCACGCTGTGTTAATGGTTCTCAGAAGATGCTCGCCAGCACGCTACAGGTTATGTGCTACAGAGCAGCCGTAAGGCACACCGTCTCCACGGAAACTATGTCAGCAGTTTCCAGGCCCATGGGTCTGGTCCCACTGCATCTTGAGCTTTGGGCCCTATCACACTGTCCCTTATATTCAGTCGCCAGCCACATAGACCCCCCACCTCCTCAGGGAACAATCTCCTACTGCATACACCCAGACTTCACTGCAGTGGCTGCCATCTCTGTGGCATAGTCACCCATATACAATGTCTTCTGTCGCCGTCAGGTCCCAGTCAGCTGCCATGTCCAGAGGCCTTTTCTTGACTGCTCTAACCCAGCAGTTCTCTCCCACCGCTTTCTATCTTCCTACCCTGTTTTATTTGACACCTCCTGGCGTGGGAGAGGGGTGTTTATTGCCTACTCACATCTGCACATAAGAGAAACTGATTATGGACAGCATCTTTTGTTCTTGGCTTCATCCTCGGCTCCTTGGACAGTACCTGGTCTATCACGGAAGCCTGGTGAATGCACTGGATGAGTGAACAGAAGCGCTGATGCCTGCTCTAGGAACCAGCCATGCCAGCTTGGCGTCCTGGTGAGGAAGCCACGGCTCTTACATACACTACTGACAAAAATATAGATTCACAGAATTTTTTATGAGATGTTTGGCAAATAGCCCTGAAAACATACTTACAACTAACATTATACCGACTGAACAGAAATATACATGAGTGTATACATATAGGTACATAGATATAATTAATAATTGGTGGGAAATAAAAGAGGCTATGAATATGAAGGAGAGCAGAAAGAAGAATATATGAGGGTTTGAAGGAAAGGAAGAAAGAAAAAGGAGAAATGGAATTAAATTCCCAAAAAATTTTAAAAGAAACCATTTTGGTGGTAAATGAACCAGCACAACCTATCAAAAGAAAAAAGACTGGTGATATTCCATGCATTGTATAAAGCATCCACATACCTAGAGACCTAAATCCCTCACCATTGCAAATGTTCTCTGTGAAAAACAGTCTCTGGCCTGTGACACGGTGTTGCAGAATAACAAAAACTGTAACTAACTGAAGCCTCCACCAATCAAAGGTAGATTAGAAGCTGGGGATGGTAGAACCTGCATTCCAAGTACTCAGGAGGCAGAGACAGGAGCATCTCATGTTTAAGTCTGGTCTGGTCTGGTCTGTATAAGCAAGTTTCAGGCCAGTCAGGACTACATAGTAAGTCCCTTCCTCAAAACAAATAAACAAAATTATGGAAAATAATTTTAAAAAATTAAGGAAATTATTATACAACAGAATCACACTTAACTCTCATTTCAAAATATGTTAGATCTACTCATATGGAATTTTCTGGCATACAAAAAAGTGAAATCTATAAATGGAACTAAAATGAAAAATGGTGTTTGCAATGAATCCGGCTTTCTAAACGTTTTACATTGTTTGCTTTGTTTTGTGTGCTATCAGAAAGCATAGCACACTCTGGAGTCATCTGGAAAATTGCTGACAGTGATTGCATTGGGGAATGGCGACGGCAGTGAGAACAAAGGCTTCACTTTTTATTTTGTACATCTTTATACCATTTAAGCTTTCAAGCCAAGAATAGTCTCATTTTTAAATGTCAATGTCAGTTGCTGGGATGATGACATAATATGTTTTTTGTTGACTTTTCTGTTTGTTTTGTCTTGTTTTCTTGTTTTTTTTTTTAAGCAACTAATATTCACTACTTTGAAAGTCAAATAAAAACAGAGGGTGTGGACCTGCTAAGCAGCTCTAACCACCAGGTTGGATATGATGGCTAACATCTGCATTTCACTGAAACCAACCTGGTGTGGGTGTGGGGATGTACAGCTGGATTAACACACCTTTAAGCCTGCCTGCAGATCTTCCACACTGGTTGTTCTGTGGTGAATATAGCTTGTGTTTAGTGTGTGTGTGTGTGTGTGTGTGTGTGTGTGTGTGTGTGTGTGTAAGTACACAGGGCTAGGGAGGTGGGTTTGTGGATAAACTGCTGACTGTACAGGCACGATGACCCCAGTTCTGACTCTCAGCCCCCTGTGGAAAGCTGAGCAGTCACTCAGATCTGTAATCCATGTACTGACAGAGGCCGAAACAGGCAGGTCTCAGGGGCTCGCTGCCCAGCCAATCTAGTCAAAACAGTGAGCTCCAGAATCGATGAGAGACCACCTCAAGAACTAAGTTGAGGAACAATAAAACCTGACCTGAAACCCTAGCTTACACACACACACACACACACACACACACACACATATGTATACATATATATACATATATATATATATAAAGTGTTATATAAATAAGCAAGGAGCAGGATGGTTCTTAATGAAGTAGAATCTGCTCAACGCCATGTTCGCATGCATTGCATTGTTCGATCTTATTTTTATAAGCCAGTGAGGTGAGTTGGCTTATTCTCCATACTTTCAAACTGAAATAAAATCAAGTCTATTGTTGCAGTAGATAGCAACTACAGAAGCAGTGACTCACTTGGCTGCAGTGCCGCTGCCATGGAAACTGAATCCCTACCTTCAAAAGTCCTGTTCCAGGTCTGCTGGATGATTCTCCCCCCGTCCTTCTTGCTGTAGCCAGCTCTGAGAACTTCATGTAAAGCCAGAACGTAGAGGAGGATGGCATCATGGAACCCTTCAACAAACATGTTCACCTGCAAAGAAAACCCACTGAGTGAGCCTGAGAACCTGATGATTGATGTTCCTCCATGATGCAAGCAAACAAAACGGTCCAACCTGGGTCTGTAGATGTGAGATCAAGGGAGGAAGTGGGCAGAATTATCAAAAGTAACTACCAAGAGTCTTATCATGTGTTCCTGGCACTAAGTAGGAAAAACACTTCCTGAGAATTTACAGAGCAAACAAGACATTGCAGAAGTCAAAGAAACCATTCTGTTGTTCAGGCTAATTATTCCCGGAACTTTGACCCTCTTTTCATGCAATTACCCTTCTGCCCACATCTTCCATCAGCCTCAATGCAGCATGAGTCCAACACTCCAGTGAAGTCTGCTCCAGATTCCACTACCCATGTAATCCCTTTACATTCTGAGTGTAGGGCACACAAATGGAACAGTAGTAACTGGGCAAGCTGGGGCAGAGAAGTGAAGGGCTTGAGGCCAGCCTACACTACATGGCAAGACCTCATCTCAAAAGATCAAGATGAAACAAAAATGTAGGTATCCATTTGTTCGAGCTCAACAAAACTGTTACCAACTGCAGACACATAACAAAGATACAAAGAATGGACACAGGACTTTCTTCCTGCCTTGGGAGGGGGCAGCAGTGTTTGCTCCTGCACTGACAACAAACATCTGTCTCTCTTTCCATCCCCTGCCAAGCTCCAGGGACAGAAATTGATTCAGTCTTGACAGCTTATACATTTTATTTGATCTCTGGCTCAGGAAAGGTTTCACAAATGCACACACTGGCCACTAAACTTAGGGAAGTTATTTCATCGTGTTGAGTTTTGTTCTTTCATCTGTACCCATGTAGGTGGTGTAGAACCTTCTTTAAGGGTGATTGCAAGAATCACATAGCAACACAGCATAAAGTGTCTAGTGAGTATCAAGTATTCAGCAACTTGTTTTATGGGCCATAGGATGCTCTTGGTACTGTCCTGGAGTCTTATTCAGATACAGTAAATAGAGCAGTTAGTGTTATAGACTGGGGGAGAATAATAAAGAGAAGCTCAAGAGTGGTGGCAAAAGTTGACCTGAATTCTGAAATTGAACAGATGTGTGGAAGGAAGGAAGTCTGGAGAAAGCACTCTGGGTAGAATAACGCGGCAAAGACATACCCTGACCACTACTGCATTAAAAATAACACTTCTGCTCAGCTGAAGCGAGAGAAACACGGCAGCATGGACAACCAGCAGAAACTTGGGAAATATTTTGTGCCTTCAATACAGAGTTTGTAAATTACCCAGTGTTCCAAAATGGCATTTTCTCATTTTTTTTTCAAGAGTCTGAGTCAATGGCAGAAAGCCAAGGCAACAGGAAGAACTGGGTGTAGTAATAGGCGCAGCAGGGCTGCATCCCCAGCACCCCGGCCGCCTGCTCGGCTAGCTTGATAACTGTTTTGTTATTTGTAATTTTGCTATGTTAAAGTTAAAGCCTTCCTTTTTTTGTTTAAACAGAAAAAGGGGAAGTGATGTAGGAGTGTCATATATCAATCTGTTGATTTCATTGGTTAAGTAGTAAAGAAACTGCTTGGCTGGCCCTCATAGGTTAAAACATAGGTGGGGGGAGTAAACAGAACAGAATGCTGGGAGGAAGAGGAAGTGAGCTCAGACTCGACAGCTCTCCTCTCCGGAGCAGACGCCTCAGAGAGACACCATGCTCCCCGCTCCCGGGAAGATGCACGATGAAGCTCCGACCCAGGATGGACATAGGCTAGAATCTTCCCGGTAAGACCAGTGCTACATAGATGATTAGAAATGGGCTAGTCCAGGTGCTAGAGTTAGCCGAGAAGAGGCTAGATAGAAATGGGCCAAGCAGTGTTTAAATGAATACAGTTTGTGTGTTGTTATTTCGGGTAAAGCTAGCCGTGCAGGCGGCGGGGTTCCAGGGACACAGCCCGCCGCTCTTATTACTACAACTGGGGATTCCTGGGAGGATGCCGGCCAGTGCTTGTGTGCAGACTGCCTGCCCTGTCCCTCTACCGAGAAAGAGTGCCTCCACTGATCTTCTGTATGGCCCTAATCAAGGGCGTATGGTGTCACAAATGGTGTCTCCCAGTTCAAAGACACACACACAAATAGCATCACGTGTTTCAAGGGAACACTCACAGAGGGCGGCAACACCAGCTTCATTTGTCCCAGTCCCAACCCTCGCTGAGTCCTGTTTTGCATTATGGGAACAAGTATTTCAGATTTGCCAAAACTGGAATCTGGGTGGCTCCAGTTCTGCTTTCTCTAGCTGTGCTCCTACCTCCTTCTGGCCCTTGGATTCCTCATCTAGAAAGTGAAGGAAATGACAGTGTCTTCCTCCTCAGGTTGCTATCGGGTTTTCTCTGAATTGAGAAGTGTAAAGGACTTCACACAGCTTCTGCCACCATCATCCCTTGACAGCTGTTGTTGTCACAACTTTCCAGAGATGAGGGGTTACAAACCCAGCAGTTCTGCATAGCTTCTAATTCTGAATAGCAACATCCAACAAGCGAGCTATCTTATTGACCCATTTTATACCTGATGGAAAGCAGAGCTCCTCGTTCACACTCTGATGCCCCAGGCAGATCTCTTACACCATCACGGTCCTAACAACGCCTAGTAGACTAGCACTGTCCAGACTGGGCTATCCCACTAACCCTCAGGGAAAGGCAGACTATAGGATAGATTCAAGTTCACAGAGATCTTGTACTTAGCACCTAGTTCGATCCATAGTCCACACCTAACCCAGATACCTCAGTCTCTTAGCCTTCCAAGTCTTCATTTGTAAAGACTCGCCACAGCACTGGGCCACCTCACAGAGATTTTTCTGGGGTTTAAATGAATTAAAACATTAAACCGTGAAAGCCTTGGTTCTTACTTTTAGCTGTTAAACTTAAGTCTCAAAAACACTGTTTTCTTAGGCAAAGGATGCTATAGAAATAACATCTACCAGTCAAAGATAATTTTCGCCTGCCTTGAATATGCTAATTTAATTTTCCAAAGGAATACAAATTTTTCACTTAGACCGATGAAGTCATCATGATTCGAGAAAGCATGCATGCTGATGAATTTTAATAAGTATACTTTAGCTGTTAGGTTTAATTCTCAATACATGATCATTTTCCCCCACAAGTTTATCTTCTCTTTCATAACTTTATAGAAACCATCTTGGTCTCCACTACAGTGGAAAGTCATGGAATCAGAGCTGTGACATGTGGAGGATGTGGGTGACTTCAGGAAGCACTAGGGTACCCATATTTCCCTGAGGCTACAAATTTGTTGGCTTCAGGAGAAGGAGTCATTTTCTCCAATGGCATAACCACTGTCCAGTTACCCATGTTCCAGTAAATAATGTCCTTCTCATGCTCATGAAATAACCCTAATGAAATGTAATGGCTTACAAGCTTTAAAAGATGTGGAATTAGAAAAGGAACTTATTGGGTAAAACGGGAGTTTAGCATCCATGGGAGAGAAATAAGAGGGGGTAACAATGTAGTTGAAAGTGGCCAAAATACATTAAATATATGCATAAAATTGTTGGACTGATAAACCCTGAAAAGGGGAGACCATTTTTTTTGCTCAGTCTTCCTGAATTTTGTTCGTGCATGCCATGCTCTGTAAATGCATGCTTCCTAGAGCATCTGCTTAAAATACGACATGAGCCCCTGGGCCTCATCCTTCTTACTTTGTGTATGTCATCATCTTCCTCCTGCTCTTTCATCGTCCTCCTCTCTAAATCCTCACCCAGGGACCCCATACTGATGTAGCCATTCAGAGTACTGGTCATGCTACCAGGCACCATGCCTTAACTGGCCCTTCCCATTCCTTCCTTCTTGATGCATCCTCTCTTGCCCACAACAGGAAGAACAATTGTCTACCCAAGAGGATGAACTTGGATTGCTTTTGTCCTACAAGTTTGGTGCCAAAACAGGTCAGACAGGCTCTGGACATAAACTCTGGTCTGAAATCTCCTACTATCTCAATTTGCAAGTGAATCACAACAGTTACCTCCTGCCCTGTCAGAGTGGCTGAGTATCTCCCTCTCCCTCTGGAGGAGGATGCCGACCCGGCTGAAGCTGCGGCACCCTGGCCTGCTGCGGAGGAGGTTTCGGAGGAGGTTTCATTGCACCTACCTCATAGGCAAAACCCCAGAGAGTGTCTTTTCTCGAGAGAACATTCTCACTCTCGCACCTGTCTTTTTTTAATGGGAGGGAAGCCCGTTAGGACATTACAACCGCTGTAAATTGGAAGTGCAAAGTAAGGAGAAAAAAAAGGAGAGGGGGGAGAACAGTATTAAGTTGTATCAGGAACAGTTTTCTTTGGACCTCCAGAAAGAAGGAGCCAGCTCACTTGTTCTGCCTTTCTGTCTCTGGACAGAACAACCCTTGGACCTCCAGGCCCTGGTTGTGACACATCACACTGTTGTTATCAATCACAGGAAGTGGGACTCCCTTGCCTAAGCAACCCGTTTGGGTGTTCATCATCTGTTTTAGTTACTTAAATTCCCTGACAAAAGCAACTGAGGGGAGGAAGTTTTTATTTTGTTTCAGAATTGAAAAAAATCAGTTAGTTTATCATGGAGGCCAAGTCCTGGTAGCAGCAACTTGAGGCTGTTAGTCACATTACAGATCCCCAGGAAGCAGAAAGCAATGGGTGCTTGTGTTTAGCTAGCTTCTTCCTTTGGATGTAACCCAGAGCCCAAGTCCGGGGAGGCTGACACTCTCCTTTAGTGTGGCTTTGCCCACCTCGATGAGATAATCCTTCACGGGCATGTCCAGAGACTGGCCTAATCTAAATCATCTCTCCCGGGTGTGCCCCGAAGCTTGTCTTTTGGGAGATTCCAGCTCCACTCAAGCTGACAATCAAAACCCAACATCATGGCGTCCTTTTAGCCAGAAAACCCTCCCTTAACATCACTTGCTGAGGTCTTAAATTCCTAAATGCAGCCACTCCCGGGCTAGATAATGAACAAGTTGGATTAAGAAAACATGACCGTTCACCATCTCC